ACAGACCAGAAAGCATTCCTTATAACCCAAGACCAGGGAAAGGTTTCACATCCCTGTGATGCAGAAAACTCTGGAAAGTCAGTTTTCTAAAGGGACAGAGGGGCAAACACATGCACTTCCAATGGGAGGCAGTGCACACGCTTCTACATGTCAGAGATGCCTGACCTCCCCGATGGGGACACATCTACTGTCAACACTGGGGAGAGAGCACTGTACCATCAGAGTAGCAGGCTTCTGGTCTGGGGGTAACCAGCCCTGGGGACAAGGTGGGGCAGCAGAGGTCCCAGCAGGTCCCTGGAGAGACGGGTGAGGCCCCTGCTCTGGGAGGACAGTGAGCAGGACCGGTCAAAGGTCCACAGGTGCCCCCTGCACCTGGCAGTGCTCAACCAGGAGGTCACCCCACAGAAATTCTTGCACAATTATTCGAAAATGTAATTTTAAGGCTACACAGCAGAGCACTGATGAAACAGCTGGGAATTGGAAAAAACACTAATATCCAAGGAGAGGGGTGGGATCCACCAATCCTGGTCCACATGGATGAGGGAAGCTGAGCAGCTGATTGTGTATGTGTGTGTGTGTGTGTACACGCGCATGTGAAAGTGGGTATAGAGGGGATTAATGGTGATGGAAGGAGACTTGACTTGGAGTGATGAACACACAATACAGTGTACAGATGATGTGTGTGGAATTGTGCACCTGAAACTTGTATCATTTTGTTAACCAGTGTCACCCCAATCAATTCAATAAGGGAAAAAAGAAACCAATAGAAATAATTTTGTGAAATTTCTAAATTCTTGCAAATTAACACACTTTTAAGTAAGCTATGTTCAAAAATAAATGTCAAGGAAAATTAAAATATTTTGAATTGAATAAAAAAAAACAGGATATCAAACTTATGGTATACGGATACGGCAGCAATAGGAGAGCCATTTACAGCTTTGAGAATCTATGCTGGAAAAGAGCTAAGCTTAAATCAGTAATTTAAGTTTTCACCTTAAGAAACTAGAAAAGTAAAAGCAAACTTAACTCCAAGCAGGCAGAAGAAAAGATATGGTGGAAATAAAGAATTATAGTACAAACCAACGAAACAGAAAACAGAAATAGAGAAAAAATCAATGAAAGCATAATATGTCTTTTTAAACGATCACAAAATTGATAAACCTTTAAGTAGATGAACAAAAAAAACCAAAAGGAAGGCAGGTTACCACAATTAGGAGAGGGGCCATCACTACTGATACTACAGAAATTAAAAGGCTTCTAAGACAATACTATAATCAACTTTGTGCTAACATATTGGATAAACTGAATGAAAAAGACAAATTCCAAGAAAGACATAAATTCCCCAAAATTAATAGAAAACCTGAATAGAACTGTAACAACAAATTAAATGAGTAATTAAAAAAACTTCCAGCAAAGAAAAGCCCAGGTCCAGTTAGCATCACTGGTGAAAACTATTAAACATTTAAAGAAATAATACCAATCCTTGGTAACTATTTCAGGAAGTGAAGTAGATAAAAAATTGAGGATAATTCATTGAGGATAACTCAGCAACAAAAAGAAATAATTTGATACTCACAACATGAATGAATCTCAAAAACATACGCTGAGCAGAAAAGCCTGTTGGAAACAGAGGACATACTGTATAATTCCACTTAAGTTCTGGAAAAGACAAATCTAATCTACAGTGAGATAAAGCTGATCAGGTGATTTTTAAATGGAAGATATAAAATCATCTGACTATAAAATTCTAAAATATATGCATATAATAAGTGGGAATGGGGAACAAAAACATGAAAAATGTATTTCAAACAGATGAAGGTATTAAAAAATACCATTTCTTACATGAAGCTTACAATTAGAAAAATATAGGTGAATGCCTCTGAAGTTTTTACCAATAAGTATCAGAACTAAATACTTATTATATACCTTCAAGAGCACAGTGGCATTATAAATCAGATGTAAAGAAAACAAACTATGCAAAAAATGATTTGGTGATATTTGCACATCTAAAAAAATTTAAAGTTAGTCTCCAACTATACACTTATTACAAAAATAAAATTTTACAGAAATATACAAAAACACTGAAGTTCACTAAAACTAAGGTTTATAAAGATAAGTTTCAGAAGGATTCAGCAACAAAGACAAAAAACCAAAGCGACCAAAGTTTTTTTTTTGAAAAATAAAGAAAAATACATAATCTTGATTTAGGAAAGGCCTTTTTTTAAACACGATAAAACCCAGAAATCTTAAATAATTAAATTTCAAGGTAACTTAATTCTTCGGCAAAACATGATGGTCGTGGCAAATTTCATTTTCCATAGATGTCCTCAACAATCTCTCCTTCACAACATGCTCTTCTTGTGAAATGTGATGTGATACTCTCCTCAAGAAGCGGAGTCTCCATTCTTCCCCATGGAATCTGGGCTGGCTTACCACAGCAGGCCTGTGGTTTCTGAGGCCAGGTCGTGGAAGGTTCTGCCCGGTTCTCTTGGGTCACTCTCTCCTGGGACACAGTCACTGTGCTGTGAGGAAGCCCCAACAGACACATGGAAAGGCCCGCATAGGTGTTCTCGAGGACACCCAGCTGAGGTCCCGGCAGCGGCCAGGCCCGCCTCAGCCGTGAGTAAATGGGGCTCTGGCCGACTGCAGTCTCCAGGAACTCACCCCTTCAGTCTTCAGGTGTTTCTAGCTGAGAAAAACTGTTGTGCCCTTTCTGAATTCTTAACCCATAAACTCTGTGACCATAAAAGAAAAACGTTGGCTGTTTTATGTCACTAAGTTTGGGGTTATTTGTCACATAGCAATAGTTACTGGAACGATCACCCAAATTATTGAAATTATTTCCAAAAATAAAAAATGCACATAGAAAATGAATAGCAAAAATTGCAGCACCTTGGATGGATTATTACTTTCCATACTGTGGGTACTTTTCCATGTTGAGAATATCCAAAATGCTTTCAAACATTCAAGAACTCTCTAAAGCAGAAGACATCAAGTTGTAATCGTGTAGAATACCCAAAAAAGATTGATATCAGTAACTTCCAGTTGCAATCAAAATATGAACCTGTTCAAAGGAATGAGGGCATCTGGCTTATAGCTACACAGCTTACAATTTATAGAACACGTTTCATTAGCCTGGTGGTCACACTCACTCATCAAGGATTTCTCATCCCTAGTTTAATGTGGAACTACAAAACCTCCGTATCATATTCAATCCTCCACCATTCCATTTTTGTCAAAAAGCATCACAAGTTAGAGGCAGAGAACACGTCTCATTGTAAAAATAGTAAATTTCAGCATTAAGGATAAACATAACCTAGGCTGTGCCGCAATTAACTACTGATGCAACACTTAAGCGCCTATGTACAGTAGCACCGGGATGTTTGGATATGTGTCCTCCAAGTTTTCTCTTTCCTGAATTATTCTGACTTTTAATTGTGCAAAATGCATTGCTATTTGGGTGTTTGGTCTTTAAGCAGAGGTGCTCTTTTGTTCGGAGAAGAGGGCGGATTTGAAAAATACTGGGCAACCAGAGGACACACAAAGAATGTGCTGTGACTGATACAAATATTTTTTTAAGTAAGCTTAGATGTATTTTTTTCCAAACTAACACACATCCTCTATCCTTCCTCAGTCCTGTTTGCTCAGCTGGATGTCCACAGGGTCCAATTTTCCCTCCAATTGCCCTTGCACGCTAATATAATTGCTGCTCATATGGGTAATTGGTCAGCCCAGAGCAGCATCTGTATGCATTTGTTCTTCTACAGTATCTGGCAGCTTCTCAAACGATTTTGCAGTATTATGATATTATCATGTATTTTTAGTTTTTGTCTCTAACAATGCTAAATAGATGTGAATCTTTAAGAATGCTGTATTTTAAGTGTTTCAAAAGCAGGAATATACAAATCCAAATAATGTACTTAATAATCCCCTTGATGAATTAGTAAGTATGATTCTTTGTGGAATCTTGATTTTTTAGTATATTTTCAACATTCTGTTTGACGACGTGGGCGGCACACAAAGCATTTAACCTGCACTCCAAAGTGTGATTGTTTATTCTTGAGAAGCACTGGTGCGACTGTTTGAGTTGCGAGCTGAACTAGCCGCGTGTCACCAAACCCCATTTTTTACTTGAAAGAATAACTGACAAACTATGGTTTTCCACATGTGGGTATATGGCAAATATTTTCTCAAAAATGAGTGAAGTGAATGTGTACCTTCAAGGAAAACCACTAACAGTGTGTGATTATCAGTGATAAAATCCAAGCCATCAAGTTAGAATTTTGAAAAACGTAACATTATTACAAGCTTAACAGCTTTCCAGCACTTACTTTCTGGCAAGATCAGTGGTAATATTGATTTTTACAATTTAATCTAATCTAACTTTATAGAATAAAATGTGTCAATACTTAGAAGATCTGCATTACTCTATTATTTCCCAAATGACCAATGAACAATGTCACAAAACCTTGTAGAGTTAAGAGAACTTTCCAAAGAAAGAGAGAGACCAATAGATTTTAATGTAACAGAGTATGAAAAGTTTCTTGGTTTTGTTTCTGGTCCAAAATTGCAACTTTAAGAAAATATCACAAGTGAATTTTGTGTGGTATCACAGAAGTGCACGGTCACTTAAAAAGGCTTTTTTCCAACTATAGATGATCCCCAACTTAAGATTTTGCATCTTTAGGATGGTGCAAAAACAATACACATTCAGTAGAAACCAGCTAGGCTAAGCTATGATGTTCAGAAGTTTATGTATATTAGATGCATTTTCATTTACAGTATTTTCAACATACAATGGGTTTATTGGGTGTAACCCCATTGTTAAGTCAAGGAGCATCTGTACAGTATTTGCATGAGACCACATTTCTCTAGAGTTCAACCAGAACAGCACTGCAACGGATTGAATGCAAAAACAGTATGAGAATCCAACTTTCTTTTATGAAGGCAGATATTAGAGATTTGCAAATAATGTAAAATAATGGGTCTCTAAATAAAAATACATTGTTAACACGCAATGGGTTTATTATGTTCAAGTAATAAGCACTTAAAATACTTCTCAGTTTTAATTTCTAAAACAGTCAATATTGATAAAGACAATCTACATAAGGAAAAACTCTTTGGGCAGGCAATAATTTTTACGAGTGTAAAGGTGTCTTGAGACCAAAAAGATTGAGAATTGTAATTTATCATCATTAAGGAAGCATAGTTATTGTAAACGCTATTTAGAATCAGAGCAAAAGAAACTGGAAAAGGTACAAGAATAAAATTTTATAATCCTTGAAAGTTTGTCAAAAATGCAACTATTTGCTTTTATTTACCAATGAAAAGTTTATAGTTTTACATACAACTCTACCAAGTCATTCAATTTATGCATTAATCCAGAATATTTATCAACATTACTTTTCTGGCAATAAAAATTTAAGAAAAAAATTAAAAATAAAGTCAAGCCCCTATCGTCCAGTCTCAGGGCAGTTTCTACCCCTTTACTGATTGGAAGACATACTGATTTGTTCTTTCAGATGACATTTTTGACACATTTATACTGATATACACTTCTCTGTGACAACTCCCATGTACAAGTAAAGCAAGTCATTCAGACTTCGGAAATTTGTCAATAAAAAGCTACCCAGACACTCTTAGAATATAACTCTATTAGAGCAAAGGCGTAATTCAATATTCCTAGATCTAAAAAATACCTAGATGCATTAAACTTGATGCATTTATTTTATGCAAATTACTCCTCAAAGAAAAAATATTTCCATAAAATAGTGTCTGGCACAATAAATGTTAAATACATTGTGTGACTAAATCTAGCCGAGTCATCTCTAAGACAAATATGCCTAAATCAGAATATTGTGTTTATCAGTGTCAACCCTAGTATGGATACCTAGTTCTTGAGCACAGTGTGAATTTCAAGGTTACAGTACAACAACATCCTAAGGCTACTAATTCTGAATTATTATCCAAATTGTATAAAGCAAAATAAAACAAAAATCGGCCTATTACACTGATAGTGCTAAAGTCTAGAATTTGGTTTGATTTCAGTAAATAAAGAAGTGGGGGGGAAAGACAGTCCTACGTTTTTAAAAAATATTTATTTAAAAATAAGATTTCTAAAAATACATTACATAATACATTTCAAGAGAAGTAAAAATTCCACAATTTAAATTAAAAACAATCTGCAAAGAAAAACAGAACTATTACAGGAATAAAACTAAATCAATAAAATAAATTAAAAACCAACAACATTGTTCTTAAGGTAGATACACAGTTTGTTTTTCATTTTCAGAACCAGTGTAGACTCCTCATTCAGACAAGTACATCTCTGATCCACGGCTTGCACTTGTCCTTTGTTTCCTCCCTCTTCTCAATCTATCTCTTATTTCTCAACTACTGTTTTCTGTATTAGCATTAGCACTAGAAATGTTAGTGAAGATCTTCTTTAAGTAATCTTAGGGGAGCAGACAAGGTAAAACAGGCAGTGCAGTGTTAGCACTCACATGTAAACGTACGACACACACAATGAAATAACCGCCTGACTCACTTAAAAACAGGATCTTTCTATGGCACTTGGAACACACCACTATTAAAATAAAAGTTCTCTAGTTTAGGGATATGTAATATTAGACACAATTTGAGAATGATAAAAAATTCTAGGAGTCTCAAAATATCACAAATTTTGCCTATTCATTAAACTTGCTAGCTGGATTTTTTAAAAGACTGATTGCAGTTACATAAAGCTCACACAAGCACAGTCGCCTTCCTATCCCGCTGTCCCCCTTAGACTTGCAATCACTTGCCGGGGTATCTCTGTGGTGGAAACTCTTCCTGTCCTATCATGTAGCTGCTTTATTCTACTTACGCTAAAGTAGAAATTTCTTCTTAACATTCACCTCTGGAAGGCAGAGGACAGTGGGGAACTTTCTACTTCCCAATAACTTGAATAAATAACTGTATTCAGCCACATTAATTTAAATAATACATACACAAGCCAAATAACTCAGTACTGATATCGTGGCAACAAAATCTAAGACAGATCCTGTCGACAACTGGAGAGACATGTTGCTTCTTCCCGTTTTGCTTTGAAATTTTGCTTTTACCTCTAATGACATGTGTATCTGTATTTCTACACATCATTCCAGTGATCCTAAGTCATGGTTCATATCCGTTTCAGACCTGATTCTTTTTTTCCATTCAGAATTCACTGCAAAACCATATAGTGTATCTACTACATTCAACGGGAGAATTTTTGTTGAGTGAGAAATGATGCAAGACATTCTCAGATGTGACTGTCTACCTTTCCAATACCTACACACTTCTTGCCAGAATTTTTAACCATTTCAGCCACAGTTTTAAGGACACCCAATGAGTGTTTTGAAAATTTGAAGGAAAACATAAAAAAAAACAACAGTATATATGGCATTATTACATTTGGACAATTACAAGTACTTCTAAGGGTTTTTTCCTCCCATTTTTTATAAAATGAATCACTGAGCAGGATTAAGATTTTAAAATATTCTTACTCTTAACTTTTTACGTAAAGTAATAACAGAGACCTTTTTTGTAAAGTTCGATGATTTTCTATACAGTTTTGCTTAAATCAAGTATATTTGCATGTCCTCTTGGGAAGTGCCTGTATATGTATATTTTTAAAGTGTTCTTTAAGTCTGTCTTTGCAAAATAGACAAACGACAATATAACTCTTTAATGGCATTAAGGATTATAAAGAGTGAGATGCAGAATTCATTTGTCATCAGAAAGGGCCCTTACCTTTTCATTTTAGCATTTTGTTTCAGCATGCATTAAAAGGGCCCGATAAGCTATACTGTTCATTTATAGAAATAAAAGTAGACTCCTTATTATTTCTCACGTATTCCTGCAGAAATAAAGCAAAACCAAAATATCTTGTGAAAAGTGCTTTGATTGTATTTTGCAACTTTAAGATATTAAACTAACTTTTACAAAAGCCAACCTATATTAACATACAAAATGAAAAACCATTCTCATCTGCCCAACTAAAAAAAGAAAGTTCAAATGAGACATTTAAAACCAATTAAATTGAGGCAGCAGTGTGTAAAAACTAAGATTTGTTCATCAAAATTGTTCTTAGTAACACTACATTTTACTTTATAAACACAAGGATGTGAGAAGAAAACTCTCAGTCAACCAAAAAGAAAATTAACTCTTTGGTACAGGAAATAAAAACGTCACTCAATGCTAAATGAGTAGCACCAGGATGTTTTAGTTGTTGAGGTGGTAAAACACTAACTTCAGGCACCAGGAGGTTAAAATATCGCCCAATGAACACTGGCAAGAACACAGAGCTTGCAATATGCAGACAACCTTTCCCTGTAGTTAACAGCCTATGCAATTAAACCCTGTATTTAGTCCAACAATCAAGCAAAGCCACAAAAAGAAACGTACCTTTTTTGTTGTCATTTTGCCCACATCACTGTTTATATATAAAACTATCAGTACAAAATGTGGCAAGCACCACATTACATGTTACAGGTATTCACAATACTAACAGGTATGGAGACCTTCAAGGTATCAAGACCCCAAAAGAGCCCAGACTTTAAGGTGAAAAATCACCCCTTATATACAAATTCTTGATTTTTACTCTGGTGACAAAATTTACTATAATACTTAGTATCCTTTCTTTGCAGTAGACTTGTGAAAAAAGTCCCCGTTTTTTCAATCTAACTTGGGGCAATCTATTCCTTTCTCCTCAGCATTAAATAGCTGCACCTTTCACATTATTCTTAATGCTTCTGTTAGCATACACTACACAATTATAATTCTTAACACAAAAAAACTTCTCAAAGGCATCTGACCGGCTGAAGAGAATCAGCGATATAAACTCCTTAGGTAACTCAAACTAAATGCTCCCCTGCACTAACAACTCTTACAGCAAAATAGCATCAGCAAGAGATAAGGCTAATATGATTGGGGGTTCTGCTGCCACAGAAGCTGCACCCAGGCCACCCTGTCGCTGAGATGCGGATTATCCACGCTCCCTCCAGCCTTCTCGCCATCTTAGTAAGCGCCCCGATTTCCTCCCTCCAGTTTTGGCTACTTACTGCTCACCTGTACTCTGTGTCGTCTATGGAGGGCCAGGGGCAATGGACAGAGCAGTAAATGAATGACAGTGGGAAATAGTGGCAATACCAATGACTTAAGAACTTTAAATGCTGTTGTTACTTCTGTTTCAAATTAGCATCAGCAGACACTATTACAACATCTACAGAACAGAGGAAAATATAGTAAATTCTGTTGTTAAAAACTGCACAATGATAATGAAAGGAGATGGCTAAGGAAACAATCGCTTTCCTGATGTTAAACCATAATCATCCTAAAGGCAGCTGAAATGCTAAATAACAACATTGGTTCAAAATGCTTTAAGCAAGCTGGTGCTATTACTTTCTACTGTAGAACATTCTAGAATTCAATTGAAAATGGCTAAATTCAGAGCATAATGGAATTTGTGGTTTACATATAAGTTCAGAGGATGATTCTTAATAGAAGGTAACAAATGTGAAGATTAAATAATACACTAATTCACTTATTAACTATAGGTTCATAATACTAGCAAGTAGCGCTCCCTCTCTCCTCTCCCTTCCCCCCTTTTGATAACGAAAAATGCATTACATCTTTTAGGAATATTTATATCTAAGCTGGGAAAATATGTTATTAATCTAAAGGGGAGAAAACACCTTCAACAGTGTAATTTCAGCTACTAGGGACAACCAGAGGGAGAGAAACAGCAGACTTAGCAAACCTCTGAAACTGGTAAATCAGCTGGCATAGGCGTCATCTGTTTAGGACAACTGGTCTACCTAGATTCTAAACATCCCTATTGCTAAACTCCCACTAAGAGCATGGGGAAGAGAAGTCCATTTCATACTGCTCTCTTTGGTGGGAAAGAAAACAAAAGACCTCTTCTGAGAGGGGGAAAAACTTAAACCTTATTTACACACATGGCTCCAGGATCCTAGAAGTGATGAAATTATATTATTAATAATAGTTATCATTTACTGAGCCCTTAGGATATACTAAACACTTAACACACACTATTTAATTTATACAACCCAATGGTGGATGTTACTTTTATTTTGTTAATGAAGAAATTAAAATTTAGAAAGATTATATACATCTCATCTTAGCAGTGGGCACTGTCCTTCAAGAAATCCTTGAGCCTCCTCGGGTCAGGGTCTTAGAGAAAAGGCAGCATTATCTTGCATGCTTATACTCCACGGCAGAAATGTGGATGTAAGAAACAGAAGAGGTATGGAAAATACAATGTTCTCTTGCAGAAGGGAGTAGCTAACATCTCTTTTGATGTTCAATTAGGTAACCTGTTTAACACCATCTAAGATATTCATGTTAATATGTCTGCTGTCAAGTGTTCTCTTTAAAATCATGTTCAAGCTGTAAAAAAGGGCTCCTATGGTATGGTGTCTGCTCTGCTCAAACACAGCACCAGCCTTGACCAGCCCTGTGTCAGCCGACGGCTGGCAATGCATGAAGCCATCAACCAAGGCCCCAAGGCCCCAAAGACCTCAGAGCTCTGCTGCTGAATCTCGGCAGCACCGTCTACCCGAGAAGGGTTTGGGGTCATATCGTTAGGTGCTGCCGCTGAGTACAGTCACTGTGATGTGTTGGAACAGCTAACCCACCAAGGGGGCAGAGTGCCTGCTCTGGTGGGTGCTGTGTGAGGCAGCAGGAGGGGGCAATCTGACTGCACGTTTCTCCTGCCTGAATACGAGGAAGCAGGTATGCCCCTAACAGAGCAGGGCATCTTCCTTCACACCGAGCTGCCTACGAGGGACATTCCCTTGCACTGAAATATCTTATCCCAGTAACATCCAAATATGCAACCCGAAAAGCGGGCCAACACCAACTCACTCAGCAGCAGGTGGCGGAAACACAGTGCCTAGAACTGCTCGTGGGAAACTGTTTTGTTGTCAATACTCTGCCTGCTGACCACATTTCCGAGAGCTATGACGGTGAAAGACTGCACTGGATTTGGCTGTTTCTAATGATGACATCATTTCACAGAAGTCCCTCTGAATGCAGTGCCATTCAGTATGCCCTAAACGACCGGGTAATGCTGAGGCTGTCGCTGAAGGACGGCTATCGAGTGGAGCTGAGCTCTGAGAGCACGCACAGGGGCATCTCTGGGAATGCATTTGTGTGGTCAGAGACAGAGGCAGGGGTGCTGCCGGGATGGACATCTTGTGGAATAAAGGGTAACCGTCCTGAGAGTGTATCGCAATTCCCTGATGAAACACTTGGTAGGAAGCGTTCTTCATACATTAATAGATTACACAGTCTATATCCCTCCCAGCGAGAAACTGAAGTCTGCGCAGAGAAGCCAGAAACCAGCCAAATACTAGGTAAAAACAAGTTCTGCCTAAAAAAGTTTTATGAAAAATGTCCATAGGGGAAATTTCTTAATGTCACATTTGATACCTTTTCAATGCTACCTTATTTTCAGAATTTTTTTGAAAATCAACATTTCCTCTGATTTAAGATATTAATTCCTTGCATTTTTTGATACTTTCCAACTCTTAATTGTGTAATGAGTAATATTATACCTATATTAACACTCTAACTAGAACTCATTTTTTTCAACTTGACTTTAATATCATAAAGTATGCAGACTGTAATATCCATGTAGGCAAAGATGTTTTATTTTTGTCTTCTCAAGGCTTAGCATAATTCCTGGAAGTGGTAAATAATAAATACTGAGTAAATTAAAAAAATACTGGCAAGTAGAACATACTAAATGTACATGATTTACTAACTACATTTGCCAATACTTATATTTTTGAAAGCAACAGAATTGGGTAAAAAATCTAATTCTTGTATCTATTAGTAAATTATTTAATGTTTGTAAGTATAAACTTTACCAAATAAATTCTAGATAGATCTATATATATGAGATCATGTAAAAAAAAAATATTTAATGAAGCAGCAGCAGTATAGTAAACTTGAGCTAGTTGATATATTTCTCCATGAAGCATAAAGGAAGTAGTTAGAGACTAGACAAAAACCCAGGGAGAGACTAGCAGCTTTGTTAATATTAATGTCATTGCAGACCAGGACTGGACACACTGTGATTTTATAACAATAGATGTGAGAACACTCGACCTGCCCCACGACCTGACACATAAAAGGCTGTGTGGCCATAATCTAAGTTACTTCTCACTTCCTGACTGTAAGTGTTGTCCTAAATTAAGTCTTCATGATTAGCATTCAGAATTAATAAGCCCTTTTGGGCAAAACATATCTTCAACTAATTGCTTGTTTGAAAGTGATTTGAAAAAGCCAGATGAAGTATAGTTATAATTAGCTACCATCCTCAGAGAAGAGTACCTCTAAACATTAGCAAAAATTTATTGATGTTCATTCTCACAGAAGTTTTAACTTCATCATTATACTGAATTTTATGTAGCTTATGTTCTCTACTTCTATTACTATCAAAAGTAAACTATGCTTTTCTGTTAAAGAGATTAATACATAAACTAAAAATTTATATAGCTATCTCTGATGTTAACCACAAATATTTTTAATACAACTCTTAAGCAAAATACTATTTTTCTTATAATGGAACATCAGTTAACAGTATTTTAAAACTGTAAGTCTTGGTTACAAAGTACCAAAAGCGCTTTAACGGAATGGAATATCTCCGGCTTGGGGGATTGTGAACCCAGTCATCTTTGCCTACAATCTTGAGCCCAAAACAATTTTATTTAAGGAAAAGAACAACAAGTATAATTGTTCAAGAGGTATAACTTATAATATCTAAGTAAAACTCACTTCCGGAAGCCCAATTAATGACTTTGCTGATGTAAAATATTTTTTAAAATACATTTTGCTTAAAATGAAATGTTTATAAGGAACTACTTCATCCAACATATAGATGACATCAGCTGCCTCAGGGCTCATGATTATTTTCTAATGCTCAACATCATTAGTCATCTTCATGGTTATCCACAATACATAATAAATTGGCTACTAAAGCTATAGCTATAACTCTGAGTAGCAAAGTTAAAAAAGAATAAAAACTATAAAAAGAATTATTAAACTTATTATTTTAGTGCAATAGAATCAGGGAAAAATCATTCTGAAACTGAGATTAAAGAACTAAATGTATTTTTTAGATACTCAATAAAACACGTTAGATACTTGCTTGCTACTGTAACTACAATAGATTTATTTATTTCCTAATAAATTGGCAATTTTAAAGTAATGACTTTTCTAATTCTAAGGACTTAACTTGCCAAAATAAGAAAAAATAAAACTCATGAAATGAACTTACATTTGTTTATCCTAATCTGATATAAAGTTGTAAATGATAGTAAAAAATACGTAAGAACAGACATAAATGAAGCAAACTAGTCATCATTTTGTATGAACTAAGTGTGATATCATAAACAGGAACACATTAATTTTCATAAAATATAACAGTTTCGTACATACACTCCTAAGTTTGTACCTCTGGAAGGTTCAGAATTTGGCTATAGAATTTACTTGTGGGATGACATTAAGTCTCTAGAGCCAGTATAATTACATCAATTAGCCAAAAGAGGGCGCAGAGGGAACAGCGGAGTTTATGCAGTCCCCAGGAAACTACCCGTTGGTTTTTCTTAAGCTGTCTAACAAGGATTAACTGAACCCACAGTTAGGCGTGCTAATTTGGGAATATTGAAAGTTACAGCACAAGTATATATAGATATACCTTAATATATAATCTTATTTAAATATATTGATATGTAGTATTTCTGCCATTCAAACAAAATAAATATATGTCTTGCCTAGTGTATTAGTTCATATTCCAGTACCAGAGAAATCAGGTTCAGAGGGATAAGACCGGCAAGGTATAGTGAAAAGAGGGAAGAGAGTATGTCCTAGAAATGATAAAACTAAGAAAAACAAAACCCTCTTAGAGTGGGAAAGGGACCACCTCTGGTCCTCATTACCAAGGCAGAAGCTGGCTCTGAGTACCTCTCAGTCCCTTTCAAGGTAGCTAGTACTACTGTCTGAAGTATAACTGTCTAGAACACTCTTTAAGGGATCTTCACTTCACACTTCGCTGTTTTCTCAAGGCCCTCGGTGGAAAGAAATGCCTACAGCTAGGTGGAGCATTCGACTGATATCTACCTGTATTAGCTATACACTACTTCCTTACAACAGTTCTGTCACTAGGCCAAATTTGGTCAGTATGTTAGCTTGTACAAAACCCAACCCATTCCTGTGACATGAACATACTAATTTTGTGGTTCAATAAGCTCTATAAATACATTTCTCATATTAAATTTACTATGCCTCTTATCAGCACCCATATAGATCTTCATCTGCCACTTTTAAACTTTTAAATAATAAAGCATTATAATCAGAGCATGTAAGACATGGCACTTATATCTCCGAAAACAACTTATTCTATTATTTTAGAAGATATTTACAATTTCAAAAAAAACTAACCGTAGTACAGTTAACTGGCTGACAATGGTAACTTTCTGTTTCATGATTTCTCAGGTATGATTCCCTACTATCAAAACTAAGTAAAAGGAAGCTATTGATATGCGAACAGTAGACCCCTTCAATCTTCTCTTCAAGGGAAAGACTGTGAATACATAAATTTTCAAAAATGATTTATGGATTTTGCAGAATTCTAATGGAAAAAAATGTCAAAGCTGAACTTTTTTCAAAGCATGCTAAAGGTCTTTTTACACAAATGTTCTATGTTTCCGAGACCATTAGCAATTTAAATTTGTATAAGGCTAATGATAAATGTAGATATATTTTCTTATTTTAAGGTTATTTCCTAACATTAGCTACAAAAAAGGTCTCCCAATCCAAACTATAGTTGCCTGATTAAAATTTGGGTGATTGATTATAGGTACACAAAAGTTATTTACTTACTTTTACTAGTAATTTCCCATAGATAAAATTTCAGGAATAACTGGCCAATATTTATTATATATAAATCTTCAATATGTACTTTTAGATCTACTAGTAGGTAAATAAAAGTAAAAAGTATATATTTCTTTCAAAAGCACAATAGTCCTCTTTATACTGTACATTATATAATATCTAGTTATATTAGCATTTTAAAAACACGCATTCTGGTACAACTGCACTAGAAAAGGTATCTGTGGAATTATTGCAAATTCTCTATCCTGTTTGCTAATCAAAACCTTAGGGTAAAATAGGAATACATCCCCACTTAGTCAAAGTTTTCTCCTCGGAGCAAACATGTTAACAACAATCAATAATTACAACAGTACAGGGAAATGAAATGGGAAAGTTAACATGAAAAAAATTTTAACCTTTCCCTTAAAATAAGGTAGATAGTTGGTGATTTATTTTAGTGGTATTTTTATTTTGTTTTTGGTAAAGAGAAAACATTAGAAAGCTACTTCTAAGAAAACACTGCCCTTTTTCTGCTGTTCATTCCTATGCTGCATTTAAAAAAATCTTGCAGCATATATAAAAGGAAGTATTAACATATTTTAAACTGTACTTGAAAAAGAAAAATTACATATACTGTAAGGTGTAAAACCTTTTGTAAAACCTGAAGCATTAAATTCAGATTTGGTTAGTACTGCTTAAGAGTGAAAAATTTAAATAAACATCTGAAAATTCCCATAAATTAAAATCTGTACTACTGTCAGTACTAAAAGAAATTATGTACAATTATTTCATCCCAATCACTGACTTGTGAGTTTAATGACAAAAGCACTTTAAGAAATCCCTGTGGAAAGCTAATTTGAAAGTAAACATGCTTTAAACTTAAATATAGATCTTGTATTAGTCCCACAAAGGGATCAAGATCACTATTAAAATAAAGCCTGGGGCACATTATGATGCCTAAGATTGGTGGGTGGATTTTAATTGACTTGAAGACTGTCATCGTTCTATTATCAGAAAACCAGTAACGCATTTCCAGCATGGAGGACCCATCTGTGCCCACCATCCATCTGTTTAGACGTGATTGGCAAAGTGGTAGGGAACTCGCAGTGGTTGCCTCTGCCTGAAAGGAATAAACCACAGGATCTTCCAACGAGTGCCAAAAACTTCTGAGAAGGTCTGCTGCCATGGCTTTCGGGGCCTCGATCTACAGAAGACAGCATTATTAGTGAAAGACAGCACTCCCATGGTGCACTTCAGTCAGCTAAAACAATACAGGTTGGCTGGGGATCCATTACTGGACTCTGATGAATTGTGTCCCAGCATCACAAAAACAGCTTTTCTTTCATTAAGGCATGCAGCTGAGTTTTAACTCTGGATAGCAGATATTGTATCTGTGTCGTCAATCAACCTCGGGCAACTTTTGAAGCGGAGGAGAATCTCAGGATTAACAGAATGTCTGTCAACAACACAGTAGCAAATCTCTTTTGATGTACTTTCACGACAAATAATTTAACTTACTTTAGTTAGACAAGGAACAAGAGTGATCAGTACTTATTTTGTATGAAAACTAGCATGGCTAGAAGACCCCTCCTGTAAGACTGGGTTATGCCTGTCTAGCTCAGGCCTTAGACAAGGCACCAAGAAAAAGCCATCATTCTATTATTTTTCCACTGCATGCACACATTTTTCCAAATGTGGCCAGTTGTTTCCATTTTTAATAAGAACACTAGACACTTCACTTTTATACTTACATTTCTTCACAACAGTTCGACATCTTTTCAATAGATGTTGTATCCTATTAAAAAAAAAACAACTCAGATATAACAAAGTTATCAAGGCTTTATTCTATATTAATTTCATAATGTTTCAAAATCACACCCAGAGAGTACTCTGAAAATTTAAGCAATTTATATATGGGTAATAAGATTTCTCAGTTACCTACAGACATTGCTGAAATACCTTCAGAAAAAAAAACAGAATCAACATTACATTGAACTCACACCCCACAAATATTCAACTGCAAAACCTCACAGAAACTGTAGGAGTCTGACTTCAATAATGTATCTTTTTATTATACTTGCTTCCTTGACAATTCTTTTAAAAGTCCAGTATCTATTATTAATTCAACTGTCAATACCAAAAATGACAAATGAAACACACTAATGAATAGAAAACTGCCAAGAGCCAAAGAGAGCTGCTGGTTCACAGATTCAACTAGACACTTCGGGCACCTGCGACACAACACCTAGAGCTTCTGAAAGGGAAGTGAACTCATCAGAGTTCTTTGGTTAAAAAAAAAAAAAAAGAAAGAAAATTCCTTTTTTTCAGCAGAAAAATCATTCTTTTTATAATAATACACTTTCTTATTGTGTTTTCTATAAGGCTCTAATGAACATAACAGAAAAACAAGTTAACAAACAAAAGCTAGTTTCTAGACATGCTGGTTTAATTCATGTTAACAGGAAATCTATCATGAGATTGCGAAACTTTGATGATAAATAATATCTAAATAATCAAATCAAATTACATAATCTTAACTTATTTACATTTTACATATATTTTAAAGCAGTATAAAAGAAAGTATCTTCTTTTAAATACCCCCCAAAATTACAGAAGTGTTTCTTCTCTTACCCTTTACTAGCTGCTCATATATGGCAGGTGGACTGGACTGTTATTAAGCGGTACTATTCATGCAAATATTTGTGGTTTCAATTCCAAGCCCAAGACTTTTTTAGCTGTAAAACTTTCCTCCAATGAAATAAAAAGCACCATCACTTTAAAAGACTCTTTATAGAAGTTACATGAATAGCTATATTAATTTCTCACGTATGAACAAAATAGTTAGCCCACATACAGAAAAATGCATCTTTTTTCTAGATGTTTAAGAAACCAACAACAGAATTTTATTTCCAGATCACCTAGGAATTTGGGACAAGACTGTAGATTAGCTACATATTCTATATTAATTAGTTTTCCTATTGTGGTTTGAAATTCATGGTATCCAATGACAATTCTATTTACAATTAACCTTTCTTGGTTCTGAGCATAATTTCCAGAAAATAAAGTTTTACATTGTGAAAACACAGTCTGCAAGTACATGACAACATTGATCAGGGACTGAGAGGAAAGCTGGGTCTCTGGTTTCACATCTGTATAGAAAGTGACTGAAGTAATTTTAATGGTGTCTTAGAATTGATGGGTGACAGGCTGATCCAAAATGATTGCGATAGCTGTGCACAAACACAAAAGATAACACAGAAGTCAAACGCTATTAGGTAAAGTATATATAAATGGCCTATATAAATGGCCTAAAATTCCAGTTGTGGATAATACTTAAAAACTGGAACCTATTGCAGGATAAAAAAGCAATTACAAGGTCAGCCTACTATAATTACCTAATATACAGGACATTTTTCTATACAGAAATTTACAATTTGATTATAACTTTGAGGAACTTATTTGTGGTTATAAAAGAATCAACTTTAAAGACTTCAGGTTTAAACTTCATATGAGAAAAGCTTTTGTTTTCAAGTGCTTTTGACATCTTTCTACAATCTGGGACAAGGAAAATGTAGACTACTACCTATTAAGTCATCATAAGCAGATGGTTATTCTATCAGAGGACATGACATTTACTGTGACTTTATGAACATAATTTGTGAGGGTACCATAAAGGCTATTTTTTCTCTCTAGAAATAGCAAATGCTTATCTCTCTGAAACTCAGCTATCCCAAATACTGTTATAAGAAAAAAGTACAATTTGTACTTGAACAACCAAACATGCCACAAAATTTCTGCACTGACAATTATACAATATACTCAGAGTAGCACAAGTTACAGTCTCAGATTCACAAGAGCCACAGAAACAGCAAACCAAAAGAGGAAGATGTTACTACTGCCTGGAGCACTGAAAACCATAAGTCATTTCCAAGTGCCAAGTTAGATTTAATATACATTTTTTCTGTTTATAAAGCATGGAAATGTGGAATATTTTAGAAAAAAAAAACAAAACACAAAAATTAACTAAAATAAATTTTGGTGCACATAATTCCATTCAATATATAAGACTCAATACATTTGGTGACCATCAGAAAATGATAAATAGCTGCTATCTTTAAGGAGTATAAATATAATTTATTAATTCTTAGTTATATGTAACATTCACCTATCCAGAAAAATTCATTATTCAAGGAATAATATGAAACAAGTTTTTTATTTTATGTTGTCTATAATCAGAATACCTTATTTCCAGAGAAATACTTATGTCTTGATTATGGTCTAATGATCAAAGTACCTAAGACTTTTCTTCAGTCTGCATAACTAAGAGATATATGAGAATGCTTTCCTACTTCAAAAACTGAAAGTTTATTTTCTAAAAAAAAGAATAAACTAGAAAAAGCAAGACTTACAGAAACATAGGCCTTTACCTACTTTATCAACCAAAACCTGGCTGACCTTACCCTAAGAAATTATCTTTCAGATTCAGCCTAAGAAAATATGACTGAGTATAAAAAAAAGAGAGAGAGAAGCTGTATCCTAATAAGATTCTATCTAAAG